GTGTTTTGTTTTCCATTTTTTATTATGCTTTTGATACTGTCTTTAGTTCTGTAAAGACGCTGCAATATCCAGACACGACTGCAAGAAGAAATCCCTTTTACTCTTGAAGACTAGCTTTCTTGTTTATTGATATATGGACATTTATTACAATTTTTATGCCTTACACGTTGGGATATGTTTTTCTTCCTCCCCATATTTTCATGTTCTTGTGTGTTATGATCACCTTCTTAATAGGAAATACTATATGGGAGCTATTGAAATGAGCCTAGTAGTACAAACATACAGAATTCTATAATGATTCTATAATGCTGTAATTGTTTTTCATTTCCCATCAAATTTGTTACTATGTTGCCTAGAAGACTTGTTTGATTCAAGTGAAATGGGTATTTTTAAACACTTTTTTATCACAGTTACATTTTATTCACATAATTTTCACTTGCTTTTGCCTTTGGAAAGTAATCCATTTTTTCTCACTTTTTTTTCTTTTTAGTGAATATGTTTGTGCTGTGTGCTCTTTATTTTTGTAATTTTCTTTCACTTGTCCATATATTCTCTTTGTTTCTATAAGAGTGGTTTTACATGTGAATTACAAAGTGTAAAATAACCGAGTTTTTTGACCAAATGGTGTATCAACCTCATAATCGGTTCCACAAGTGTTGCATGTGACTGCAGACGTTTGATGTGGTGATGGGCTGACAAACTGGCTTTTAACACTTGTGGGGTTTTTAGCGCACAATGCTTTCCTCTCATACTCGACAATAGACCCTTTCTCACGTGTTGCTAACTCTTCATAAAGTCTGTAGAACAATTACCTTTCTTTTACTACATCAATGAAGATTCAACTGAGAAGATTACCCACTATGACAGATGTCAGAAATGCAGTTCCTTCTTTCCCTGAATGAAGTCCGTTAAAGGCTAACAGGACTGGGTGACTTTTTTCCAAGACTACAGTCAGAATAATTTGCATTTTACTGCTAGTTGGCAAAGTGTAAAAAGTTATGATTAACATGCACTGATTAAATGGTCACTTGTACTGATATTTGATAGGATTTAGAAATATGAGTGATTATGATATTAGGTCTTAAACTGTATGAAGGAATTCAATGTTGCACATTTTAAATGGAAATTGACATAAATTTGATGTTCAATAATATGATTTAGAAATAGGGCAGGAGGATGTGTGTGTATGTGTGTGTGAATGCATTTTTTTTTGTTCTGTATTTTTAGACATGTGATGCTAAAACTGTTGGAAATACAGCATTGTAATATGTAAGAGATGGACTGACTCATAAAACTGGATCATGAGAATTACTGATTAGCTAGACAAAACCCTGCATATTTGAATACATATGCTGTAGAATTTCAAAAGATCTTAAACTATTAGTCAGTGAATTTCAACAGATAATTAATATATTTTTGTAAGAATGCATGTGCAGGTGTATGGATGCGTGTGCTCTGTACTGGGTTTGTAGATGTATCTACAAGCAATATTGACATACTTAGGTTACATATGATTAATGCATAGGCCTGAAGCCTTTACATTTGATTAAAATGTGGCAATATTCATGTATTGCCATTATGTCATATGAATATCATATGATGTAGGAAATCTTTCCAAGTCATAAAGTATTGATAAAATATTAAAACCCAATTAGCAACTGAGGTAAATGAGTCTGTTGCAAATTATTATGTAGTGAAGTCTTATTGCATTTTAAAATTATATTAAAGAAAAGTATCTAGACTGAAAAATTTGAAGAGAGGATAAAGAGGAAATCTTATGTTGGATAGTAGACATGATAATTTTGACAAACTTGCATTGAGAACTAAAGTTTGCCCCACACAAAAAAAGATAAAAAATCATTTTCAAGATATAAAGATCTAATTTCACGATAGATTCTGCATTAACATTGAAGTAATTATGATGTCTGGATACCACGTGGAGATTATTCATATCCGTTGATATCAATATCTTCCACTCGAAGATGCCCAAAGACATAAAGCAAGCCTCAGACACAGACGTCACTAAGGGTCTAAAGAACTGATTGGGCTTCAACATTGCCCCTTGGCCATGTCCTCGCTAACAGGTTCGCAACTTGGGTGCTGGCGGGTCTACTTGCCTCGACTCCCCTGCACGCAGGGCTAATTTACACAAAGCTGTGGGCCTCTACCCTTGTCATAAGCAAGGGGGTAATCAGGTAATCTAGTAGGGCAAGCCACTAGTTGTTCTAGTATCCCATCTGTTTACTGTACAAGGTCTAGGTTAGGCAGCATCAGAAGGATCCGCCAGAGGAGATGATGGCAGACAACAGTGGAAGGTTTGCATGTGCTTTATTGCTTGCTGGCAATTAATGTGGACTTTGCTTGTTGTGGAATGTCAAGACTCGTAACTTCTCCTGGAGTTTTGGTTCCTTTTCCATTCCTTTGGTTAAGGTCTAGCATGGCATGATGTATATTCTTTTTTTTTTTTTTTTTTTTTTTTTTTTTTTTTTTTTCTTTTTTTTTGCTTTTCAATGTGTAACCATTTCCCCAATGTATGTAAATTTGAAAGTACACTTTGTAAGGATGGGAATGTGCACCCCAGTCTATAGCTCAAGTTTTTATTTCTGATTTCTGCATCAGCATATTCAAAACATCATTTTAGGATGTTTAAGTGAAAATTCTGAATGCATTTGGAAATTATACAACTCATTTGAGAAATGTTAGGGTTGCTTATTTCAATGTTTATTATTATTTTACTATTTAGTTGAAGTTACAGCAGTCTACTTTCATAAGAGATCATTGATTTTCCGTCTGTTTTCATAACTGTACATGTTACTCAGTTGCATTTCTCTTACTCATTGATCTCTCCCATGTTTCAAGGTTATTCGTGCTTTCTCTGTATATTTCTCATCACTGTTTTCTCACTATTGCAAGTTATACTTATTTGCAATAATTTCTTGTCCCCTTTATCCCTCCCCTGTTTGTAAAAAACAAACCAAACAAAACAATTCCATATCTTGCTTTGCCTGCCGCTTGGTTCAGTGAGTGTTTGCACAACCCCACAGTAAAGACCAGCCGCTAACACAACTAACCGCATAGTCTGTCTCTGGCCTAAACATACGAGCAGATAGTCATTAGATCATGGGTCCACATTCCCCTGTCTCCTCCGTCTCACATCCCATTGTCTTCCCTTGTCCTGAGCCCTGCCTCTAGCATGGTGATCGTGGCAGTAGTAGTTAGTGTTGTCTATGTGCAACAGATCCACAACTTGGGCACCGGACAGTGTGTGGACTCCGCTGCCAAGCCTGACGATAACCACAAACCGGTCGGTCTCTGGCCGTGCCACGGTCAGGGCGGAAATCAGGTAAGTCTTCTTCTGGGTGCTTGAGAAGTTTTTGTTTTGTTTTTGTTCATAGGCTTTCTGAAGGTAAGTACTTGTCCCATGTTTTAGCTTTGATTGAGCTGCTTCTGCTACAGGAGCTAAAAATATGCAGCTTAAGTGTGATGTGTTGGCATTTTTTTTCTTTATTATAGCACTGTTTTATCTTAGCTATATTTAGGTATCTTGTTAATAATGAACTTTTCAAAAACTCATACTTCTGCATATCTTTTATTGTGTAATTAGGATGGCAAGGAGTATACGTTAATACCTTCCTGCTTTGGTTGAGTATACTAAAGGTATTGATATCTAGTTAAGTCACAAACATTATAAGCTTAATACATAGATTTCATTTTACTTTGAATTTATTTTAGTGATAGCCTGTTTTTTCAAAGCTTAAAGGAATTACATAATAAAAGGAAGTGAATATAAAACACTCCTATTTTCTGTTTTATAATTGCCTTGAATATAACATAAATTTGTGAATCCATTGAGGATAAGGCTATAACTCCAGTAGCAGTTATCTTCAAAATAAACCTCTTGCTGAAGTAGACCAATAGGTAAAAGAGGTGAAATGTAGAGATCATTATTGCTTCATTAATTATAGATTAAAGAATACTTGGGTCAACTTGTATAATTCTACTAGTTTGCTCTATGATGTAATATAATGTGTTAATCCTAGAATAGTGGAATGACTTTTAAAGTTTCATATGAATAAAGTGGTAATTTATTGTTTTTAGCATACACTATACAGTATTTGCTATTATGAATAAAATTTTCTACAGTCATAGGTAGGTTGATACTTGGTTACTGCATGAAGTTTTCCTTTAGAGAATTCTTATAGGATTAGAATTAGAAATCACCTCCAATTGTGTCTTTTAATAAAATTTGTTTCTCAGAAACTTTTTTTTCTTTTTTGTTATTGTACTTGGACTAATACACACAAGATGAAATATAGATTTACATTTCAAACAGGATATCTAGAATATATATCCTATTTTTACAGAACATGTAGTTTTTATTGCCTAACAATAATGTAATAGCACAGTACTGTTTGAGAAAGAGTTACTGAAACATATCTATAGTCTTTTAAAAATTTGAAAATAATTGTCATTGAAATTCCTTATAGTGATGATTCCTTGAAATTTCTCTGACCTTTATATTCTTTTTCATGACAAGTATTGGATGTTGAGCAAGGAAGGAGAGATCAGGCGTGATGAGGCGTGCATGGATTACGCTGGTGCTGACGTGATACTTTACCCGTGCCATGGATCAAAGGGAAACCAATACTGGGAGTACAACCCAGAGGTATGTGTGAGTCCTGTGTACTTATTATGGGATATTCTTATGTAGGGAGAGAGGAAGGGAAGAAGCTCAAAGTTGAACCAGTCATTGGAGTTCAACACAGAAGTCTGTTATGGTTGTTGTTGGATGTTTTTGTAAAGGACTGTGGGATGTTTTTTTATACTAATGATTGGATATTTTCTTATGGGAGTGAGAGAGTGTGCGTGGGTACAAATATGTGTGTAATAATTTTATTAGAAATATAAGACAGTATATATTGTATTCTTTAGCGAACATTAAAACCTTATTTTTATATACTGCTTCTTTCTGAGTGTTAGTTATTGGAAATTACTGCCTAATCTCTTTAGGAATACAAATGTATTACTCTGATTTTATATTTCTTAATCTTTTATGTCTTTAATGTTATAGCCCATGTTAAATATGTACTGTCTTCTACAGCCCACATGATTTAACATTTATATGTATACTACTTATATTTTCTTCTAATGAATAATTATTTCTTTCAGTCGAGTCGCATCATGCATGGCAGCAGCAAGAAGTGTCTTGCAATTTCTCAAGACAGGAAGAAACTCGCAATGGAAGACTGCAATTTAGAAGAATCAAGACAAAAGTGGAAGTTTGAAAATTATGATCCCAGCAAAAAACTATGAAAACAGATCAAATATTAAATAAATATTTGTTTTGTTTATATATTTTTTCAAGTGCCTGTGTATTGATTTTCAGTAGTATGCTGAAGAATGGGAAAGAGTTTCAAGTTGAATTATTTAACAGTGAATTTAGGTCAAATTTTTTGGATGAGCCAAACTTCAAATTCTTTCTCTGCAATTGGTCATCTTTATCATACCTTCTTGATTTCGCTAAGAAATTTTTATGGTGGTTAAATCACCTGCGGAAATATGCAGACCACTCGGTTCCCCATCCGCACGAATGCTGTAGGAAAGTTCACTGTGAACCAAGGTGTCAGGATCAGTGATCGCTGCGCATGTCTTCTGCCACACTGTTGCTCTAGCTCTTAAAGGTTGTGATCTAGAGGATCTTCCTTTAGCTTTTTATTCTACAGCTGGTCACTGAGACTCAAAACAGAAAAAGAAAAAAAAAAGGATAATTTCATGTTGAAAGAAACAATTTTTTTTTTTTCTGATAACATCTCGTGTTTCTGGTGAGATTATTTTTCTACTAATTGCACTTCTGATGTTCATTTGAAAGCAAAGGCAGTACATAACAGAATGCTGAGTGTTTTGTACTGTTTTAGTCAGAAAGACTTTCTCGTGATTAGTGTATTCATGAAAACCATCAAATGTCATAAGAGGTTTAGCTAAGTGTGACACAACAAAATAAATTAAGAGGTAACTTGTAAAGGGAAGTTTGAGTACTAGCTCAGAAGTGGCCAGAAATAGATGTTGAAAACTAGTTAAAGTTAAAATCCATAAGGGATTGAATAATTGGTGTTTGGTTTGTGAGATATTGATATGGTAAATTCTAGTGGGGATGTTCTAAAAATAGTTGCAGCTGGATTTAGTATCAATGATACAGCTTATGGAGAAGTGTGAAATGGTTTTGAGACTGTTGGACCAATGTACCAGTGATGTGGTAGGTGGACATGAACAAGTGTGCCTCTGTTGACTGTGCCAGAAATAAGAATTGCAGTTTGCGATTAGAAGAAGTTGGTAACATGCTTCTTATTAGTGGCAGGATTCAGAATACTGGATATCCAGTATGAAATTTGATGATTGAAAAATGATTCACAGTTGCAAATTATGTTCTGAAATAGCAAAACGTAGGACCAATCTGTAATATTATATAGTGTGTGAAGAGTGACTCTGTGTGTTTACCAGTCTAAGATACTTCAGATTATCTTATCCAGAATAGTGTATTACCTCATGTTAATTTTGTTTTTCCTTGACTTCAGTACTGGTTACTGTAGTTTGAGTACCTTCTCCATATTGGTGCTTGGGATCTACTCTTTGATTTTTAGGGTAAAAAAAATGTTTTGGGAATATGATAAATGGGTTTAAACGTTCCCAACTAGTAGTGTTTTGGGAAGAAACACTAATTCTTGACTCTATGCCCACAATGTGGGAGAAGGAGAAAGACAAGAAACAGATCAGGAAGGTGGTTGTCAATTATGTTGTGATGTAAATATCCAGATCCTGATCCAGGCCTTTGCCAGGGAGGAAACAGTAACAAGACACAGATAATTCTAGAAAGATTTGTCTATGTATACAGTCAAATCTATGTCCATTAGCAGAAAAGTAGTAAAACTCATTTCAAGTTTCCCCCTCCCCCCCTTTTTCTTTCTGTTCATGTGTTTCACTTTTTATGTATATTCACCAACACTGATTTTCATTATTATTACATTCTATAATGTCTTCCTGATCTGCAATGTTAAGTCTTATTAGACAGTTAACTCTTATATGTAATTGTTATTGCTTTCTGTGATTTCTCTGTCCCAATTCCCTTTTGTATCATCAGTGTGTGCAATAAGCAAGACATATCCTCTTCATAGGTTAAAATTCATCATCAATTTTTCTGTTTCCATTTTCGTTTAACTGCCAACACTTGAAGAATGTCAGGAATGCTGTACTTTTGAAGATATACACACAATGGGGACAGCTTTAAGATTCATGAAAGTTATAGGAGTGTATTTTTCGTTGCTTTCTGTTTTTTCTAGCATATTTACTCAGTTGTAGTTATGGTTTGTTATTAGGATCCCTGTAACAAGAATTTGAAATGGATATTTTGTCTAGATTTATCTAGATGTATAGAGAGAACATAATGTACAAAATTGATTAATGTTAACAGTTAAGTTTCATAGTGGTAGTTCATTAAGAAGCTGCTTAGTGTTTCTCAATATGATTGATATGATTTTCGTTTTTTGTAACTTTATTAGAATTCTGATAAAGTTTTACCCAGTGACAGTTACAGTTTAATCAATAATACTTGCAAATTGCGTAGAAGAAATATCAGAGCTATTGTAATAAGGCAAAGGCAAAAAAAAAAAAAAAAAAAAAAAGTCTGAATGCTATTGATAAAGAATTATTCCCACTAAGAGCTTTGTCCCCTGATTTGCCCCATGTGTAATTTGTGATGTACTTGGTAGAGTTAAGGTGTTTATGTTAAAACTTCATATTTGGCTCCTCTAGCATTCCACTTAACATTCCTTGATATATAATTTTTTTTTTACACATTGAAAGTTAGTGTTAATTACATCAGTGTACAAAATATCATTTGAGCATCATTGTTGTAATATGGTTATTTATGAAAGCTAATACATATCTTTTATTCATGAAAACACTGTTGCCATTTCACATATCAGCATTTAGGGTAATAACTTTTCAGTAGATTTTGATACGGCTGCTTCACTGTTTCCTTTCATTTCAGTGTAAATGAGTAGAATGTATTGCTTTTTACAAATTTACACAGCTCTGTATCATATGATATAAAGACAAACACTTACTCCTCTGTACAAAAGATAGATTAAAGTGTAAAAAAAAGAAGTAATAATAATTTTGTATGATGATCTTAAAAAGTATTGGGAAATATGACACACACAAACACATATACACTTATGCACACACCCCTTCACAAACACACACACACACACGCATACATATTCACAAAGACATAAATGGTTCTCTCTTTATTAATCATCACAGAAATCAGTCCAGTATTAATGTTGCAGGGTTGGAAGAGCAGTTCACTATCAGACCAGTGACCAGTTATGCTTTGGGAATTCATATTACTGTTGCTGGTAGAAAAACATTGGGTATGAAGTAAAAAGTAAGTCATACATACTACAGAAACTGACCTAAAGAAGTGGGAGAAATAATTTGTGATGCAGATTGAGCAATTTTCAGATGTTCTTTGTTTTAATTTCTTGTCGTATTTGGTGAATAAGGACATAAGCAATTTGCATAACTGTTACTTTGATCATGTTTATTATGGAAACAGTAAAGTGCTAAGGATGTTAGATTAAAATATTTATGAAAAATATAATATTTATGGATGGCAGTCATTTCCTGATGTGTGTTCTTCTGAAATCTGTTTTTTTTTTTTCTTTTTTACAACTGTAACAAATTCTGCAATTATGAGAATTAAGTTGTTTCCTGTATTTCATATCAACAACCAATCAAGGACAGATATAATTTCTGTACATAAAACGAGAACTTTATTGGATTATTATAATATAGAAAAGGAACTTATTTTTGATAGAGTAAATCAGTGCATGTGATATCAGGTAAGATATAGATATATATAATTACTGTATATATTGATACTAAACAAGAATTGTCATGGATAAAATAGAAGATTGCAATGTATTAGGCATTGTAGCTATGAGACTTGGTTCTAATGAAAGCTTATGATGATGGGTAAATGTAATATATGTGACATAATGTTAAACGAAGAAATGGTGGGAATTGATTTTATTTGGAAAGACTCTCCCGTCCAAGGCCAGGTGCTTGCTGCTACTGATTTTCATGCTTAAGGGAGGAGTTGTTGTCTCTGCATCATTTGAAGCAGCGGAAATCTCTGTCATCATGTCATAGGCGAGACAAAAAGAAAAGTAGATACCGTCAAGTACAGCTACCATTGTGATGGGGCATAGCATGTATAGCACCATCTGAATATCTGTCCTTTTTTGAAAACTTGTTTTCCTCTAAAATGGAAATCCATGTTAATCTTGTGTGTGTATATACCAATACAACTACTGGTTGCTTTTCTGAATCACCAAAGAATTATCTTGTAATTAACTTGCACAACCATTTCCCAGTCCTCTTTAATTCTATGGTGAATAACTTTATTTATGAAAAAGTCAAATTTTATTTAGTATATTTTGGAATAACAACATTCCTCACTGTAAGTATGATGCAAACATTCTGTATTTCACATGACAGACAAACTGAGAGAAAAGTATAGATTTCTTCATAAGGTTGCTCATGTGTTGAATCATATGCCATTTAATTTCATGTCATTTGTTTTAAGATTAGATCATTACTATTATTGATATTTAAAAGATGTTATTTGATGACTGTTTTTTTTTCTGTGGAATTTTATTACTGATGTACATTAAGGAAATATACCAATGGACATATTAACATATTGTATACACCAGTTGTGATTAATATTTAGAATAGCAGAGTGAATGTGTATGATGTGTAAACCAATTACAAGATTGTGTGCTACATTTGTTGTGTGCTAAATTAAGCTAACCAGTTGTTTTCCAATGGAAAGGGGATAACACTGTATGATTGGGCAAGTTTTGATGTCCATTATGCATTAAAACCCCGCATGTGTGATTCCTCAAAGGGTGCCTTATTAAAACCATTCCTACTGCCACCTGGGTTTGTCTCCAACCTTTTCATTATGAGATGGTTTTTACTCTGGAAGTTAAATGATGTTGAAAAAAATGATGAATATAAAGAAATACACATACCTGAAAATAAAAGTGATATTAATTGTCTCAGTGCTATTATACATGTTATCATAATTTCCTTCTAAATCTTACTATCACCAAACATTGTTCTTTTGATATCTGCAATGAAATGTCTAAAGACTACATGCAATTGACCTCATTATAATCATATTCAAGACTATTTAACAAAAAGTGCATGTTGATTTAAAAAGGCTAAGTAGCAAGTGCCTTTGTGATTCATTTGTTCCTTGCTTGAATTATATCACTAACAACAACAAAGCAAAAGTGTATAAAAAAAATACAGGTACACCAATAATCATTAGATTTAAGAATATTCAGTCAAAATATTACAAAAATATTGCATATCCTGAAAACAATACATGTCTAAAATTACTGCCATTGTTTTCACCTGTAAACCATTTCTATATACCATAAGAACATGCAAATACCCTCACCTATACACATACAGACAAATAAGCAAGTGCTAAGTGTCCCATTTCCTCATGCAGAAATATAAATCTCTATTCAACCATGAAATGCTAACCTTACAGAAGAGTGGACAGACAGTTGGGTTAATAGATAGATGGAAGGAAAGACAAAGAGAAAAAATTGAGACATACAAAAAGGTATTAATTTACAGATGAATAGATATGTATGGTTAAATGAAAAGACACAAGATTGAATGGTAAATGTATAGATCAGTGGTTCTTAAACAGAAGTAATTAAGCCTTGATATTGAAGCCGTTTCTGGGGGTTAACAAGGTACTTTCTCTATATGATTGTTCTTTGGAGTAAATCCATAAATGATAATAATAAGAAGAAATAAGAAATTAATAAACAGATAATTCAGGATATAAACTTCTTCCTTATTCATGGGTAAACCATTTACATAGCTGCGAAGTTCAAATTTCTCTCATAAAGAGTGGTAAAACACAGGAAGGGATGATCAATATTGGAATAGAGTTGACTATTTTTTGAGCCAAACTTGATAAGGAAAATCCCATTCTGTCAGAGACAATTGTCCAGCACATTTATTTGTTTTAAAGCATTAACCATTAACCAGTTCTTAATTTGCTCAGCCTTTTTGCTAAAACTACCTGTTAGAAGGCTGGTTTCTCGACCGTTAATAATGTAGCATAATGCACGTTTTCTATTAATTACCAAAGAAATAATGCTTTTAATTCCAAATTTTAATGAAAGGAATTATGTCTTAATCTTAACGATTTGTCAAATTAACTGTGCCTAATTTCTTTACTTCTTGAGCAAAATCAAGTATTTCAATAATTTTCTTTCTTTTATAACTTTACTTAACATGTACGTAATATAACCACAGAGTCTGAGAACTACTGTTATAGATGAGTGGAATACTGGATAATCAAGACAGATAGACTAATGGACAGAATGATGATATATTGACTTATATGGTTCCATTGTGGACGAATGGATGTAGAGATAGACCTATCGTAATCCAGCCCATAGTATCTATCCATCGCGGACGCAGGCAACTGATAATGAAGCAGGACAAGCGGATGGCAACAGGATAGCATAAGGCAGGTGGAACTCTTGTCCAACATCTGCGCAGTACCTAACGCAGTATCTTGGCTATCGCATTGTAAAATCACTTGAAAATTATACCACGCAGTATTCTAACGGTGAAGAGAAAGGCACATCAGTCTGCGCATAAATAGTGTTGACGGTTCTCTCAACAAAGTTTGCGAACTTAGATCCGTGCAAGTAGGAGAGGGAGGGAGGAGGGGGGGGGGCGTCGGTCAAACAAAACGTACTTGAGGCAGAAAAAAAAACAGGCTGGGGTGAGCCAGGACAATACGCTATCACCTTTTATGCGCTTTTTATGATATTTTTACTCTTTGTAACGGCTACCTATTAGCAGCGGAGAAAATATGTGACCTGTGACCAGATATTACAAGATAGAGCTAATTATATCGGTTGTGTTTGTGTACGCTGCTACTCTCTGACTGTTTTTTTTTTTCCATTCCAATTCTATTTTCTTCACTTTATTAGATTAATTTATGAATATTAAGAAATAATGAACTTTTATAACGAGTTCTCTCAAATTATTAACTGAAACGTGGTGGATTTTCCCGTAGAGTACAACTGAACGGAAATCCATATCGATACATGGCCATGCGGACAGAAGAATGGATGAGAGAGAGAGAGAGAGAGAGAGAGAGAGAGAGAGAGAGAGAGAGAGAGAGAGAGAGAGAGAGAGAGAGAGAGAGAGAGAGAGAGAGAGAGAGAGAGAGAGAGAGAGAGAGAGAGAGAGAGAGAGAGAGAGAGAGAGAAAGAGAGAGGAAAAAGGGAAATAGAGAGACATAAATATATACATGTGTGGGGGGGGAGAGATAGAGAGACAGACAGACAGACAGACAGAGGCAGAGACAGAAAGAGAAAGAGAGTGAGGGGAAAAAATGAAAGAGTGAAAGAAGAAAATGAGTAAAAGAAGGAGAGTAAGGGGGAAAGAAAGAAGGCAGGAAAAAAAAGATGGAAAGAGAAAGAAGAAAATAATAAACAAAAATATTTATGCTGAGATAAACTCCTACGGATGTTAGATGTCATTCATCCAAAATCATCAGAAAAGAAGAAAACATATTAAATACAATCAAATACACAATAATGATAATGTTATATCAGCATACTATCATTCCGCACGTGAAATTTATGGTAATAATCATGATGACGGAAGAGCGACGTATCTATTTAATCATGTGAACAATACGATCGTTAATCATGCCAGTATAATCATGTAATTAGTGATTGACAGCTGTAGGTTACAGTTAATTTAGGGAGATAATAAGCCCATCATCAGGGAGTTAAAACTAACTAATAAATGCAATACAAAAAAAAACAAAAAAACAAAAAAACGGAAAATCGTCGTAATATCCTCGAGTAATATATAAGAATGATGGTAAATAAGTGAGAAAACAAGCTAACAGGTAACTCCGCTCTCCGCTCCCCCCCCCTCTCTCTCTCTCTCTCTCTCTCTCTCTCTCTCTCTTTCTCTATCTATCTATCTATATTTCTATCTATCCATCTCGCTGTTTCGCTGCATGTATGTATGTATGTATGTGTGTATGTATGTATGTGTGTGTGTGTATGTATGTATGTATGTATGTATGTATGTATGTATGTATGTATGTATGTATGTATGTATGTATGTATGTATGTATGTATGCATGTATGTGTGTATGTATGTATGTATGTATGTATGTATGCATGTATGTGTGTATGTATGTATGTATGTATGTATGTATGTATGTATGTATGTATGTATGTATATACATACATACATATACACATGCATATACATACAGTATACACACACTACATATTAACGCGTGTGTGTGTGTGTGTGTGTATAAAGGAATAGGTAAATGAACTTACACGGGCGAGAGAAATCGTGGCCAGATTAGAGAGAGAGAGAGAGAGAGAGCGAGAGAGAGAGCGAGAGAGAGAGAGCGAGAGAGAGAGAGAGAGAGAGAGAGAGAGAGAGAGAGAGAGAGAGAGAGAGAGAGAGAGAGAGAGAGAGAGAGAGAGAGAGAGAGAGAGAGAGAGAGAAACGCACGTCGGGAAGAGAGAAAGAAATAATTAAGTAAACAAAAGCAAAGCATCTTTTCGTCCGAGTCAAGACCCCCATTAGCAAACAGACGAACGCTTTCTCCCCTTCCCTCTCGCCGCCGGGAAGAAACAGGTAGCGATGACAGGCAGTAATGATTTTCTGGGAAGAGGCCGACACGCCACACACACACTACACCCGCCACTTACACCTTCCTTCGTTTCTTTAATTATTCGCTGCGTTCGTTATGACTTCCTTCTTTCGTTTTATTTTTGTTTCCGATTTTCTTTCTGTTTGATATTTTTTGTGATTGTTTTTATTTTTGATTATTTACTTCTCTGCGATCGAGACACGCTCTTTGAAAAGACTAGAGGTGAAAGGACGACTTGATTAAGGGAAAATGACCAAGCGTTGGAGGTTAAGTTACCTTAGGATTACTTCATATCAAGGCTGACCCGAGCAATAATCAAGATAATGTTGGAGGCGGGTTCGAGGGTGACCTTTCGAGTACCTGTGACACAACTGTAGTGGCACATGACCCTTCGAATGACCTCCTTAAATGAAAAAGAACTCAGTGACCTCGTGACAGAAAATGACTTGAAGGTAAATTTGTGTAGTTGAACAAATACTAAAAATCGACTCAACAACTTGCAATTACGGAAGGCCATTTGGATTTAATTTTTGTCAACAAAAGGCCAGTTTCCCAAACATATACTTGCTTTAAGAATGTAAATATGGAAAAGACCGCCCGGGCCGAACTGCAAACAGAGGAAGACTCTAATAAAGAAGGAAAACCGAAATAAACGAACTGCACAGCCGGAACGACGTGTATTACGACGATCCAGCGACTCATAAAGAAAAATTGGCTCGCTCTATGGCGTGCGTGCGTGCGCTGTTCTGTTGCCAGCGGTTCGGCCATCCCATTCACTCATTCATTAAGCTAATAACTCCTTTATATTTATACGTTGCGTGGAGAGTACCCCCCTAAAAAATGGCAAATGGACATAGAAAATGGAAGAGCTAAAGATGATGAAGCGAGAAGCCAGCGCGGAGGGGGGAGGGGGAGAGGGCGAGCGAGAGGGCCACGCGGTCGGGTCAGTGCAACCGCGGCCTCGGAAGGGACCGGTGTCGGTATTGACGCGCCGCCTCCGTCTCACTGGACCCTCGCCGGGCGCCGCCACCAGGCCCGGCCTCCGTCTCGCTTCATTTCTTGGCCAATACGATTACTGTCTTGGTGGCCAGGCGAGCATTTCACGGCCCAGGGATCGCGTTATGGCCGAGGACTTGTCTGTGTTGAGGCATTTCGTGGTCGCCAGTCGGTGTCGCCCTCGTCCAAGGAGCGCTGGTAAT